ATCAGGCTAGCCTGTGCCATCCAGGTCAAGGCAAAGAAAGAAAGACACAGGCCCCTGCCACACGGGGGGTATAAATTTAGTGGTAGAGTAATGCATAAACTAGTGTGGTTTGTTATGATAATAGAATGGATGATATATGATTTTCAAAAACAAACATATTTGTTTTTTAAAAAAATCATCTGTGCCAGGATGTTACAATTCCCTTCATTTTTGGCACTGCAAGTCCCATCATCTTGGAGCTGGTGGCCTATTTTGAGACTTCTAGCTTCATTTTCTGATGAGTTACGCCTGCCGCTGACAGATGGACAGACAGACCGGTGGAATCTTTTATTATCAGAGGTTAAGGGAAATACCCAGGGAAAAGAAGAGATGTACTCTAGCTGTAAAAAAGCAGTTTTAGGCTGTCACGCGCACTAGTTGAAGCAGAGGGGAAGCAAGGCTACTCCCTCTGGAGGAATTTGACACACCGTTGCGAGATCACACCTCCCTTTGTAGCTGTGGGTGCAGCCCATCACTGTGTGGTCAGATGCAACTGTGGGTGAGTCAGGGTTTTTTGGCCATTTGTTGCCCATGCGCATAAACGAGGAATCGCACCTCTACACTGAGGGCCCCCTATGGAGTATGTGATGATGCTCATACTGCGAAGAGGGGGGGGCAACGGCACCAAGTTAGGATGGCCTGATCAGACCATCCCGACGGCTTGAGAGAGTGCTTGAGCGATCAGACAGGGGAAAGTCTGTCCGTGGCCCGTCAGAACCTGTTTACTACTGGACTTTCCCTGGTGTCGTTCAACTCCCCTTCTGAGGTGGAGCAGCATGGGTTGCAGGCAACTGCTGGACGCTTCCCAGATGTTGCTGTCTGATCGCTCCCTTTAGATCCATCAGGCATTTGCACCGATGTCAGATCTAAAGGCGCGTGTGATCACAGCCTTAATTTTATACAAAGGCAGTATATTCTAATTTTAAAAAAGGTAAAGGTTCCCTTGCTCGAACGCCAGTCGAATCCGACTCTAGGGTTGCGGTGCTCATCTCCGTTTCAAAGCCGAAGAGCCAGCGCTGTCCGAAGACGTTTCCGTGGCCATGTGGCCGGCATGACTAAACACCAAGGCGCACGGAACGCTGTTCCCTTCCCACCGAAGTGGTACCTATTTATCTACTTGCAGTTTCTTGCTTTCGAACTGCTAGGTTTATTAACTTTGGTTAATAGGCTGAAACATACGTGTCATTTTTCCCTTGTGAACTTGCAAGACATTCCTTCTTTTGGAGCTCTTCACTTGGCAACCCTAGGCAGACGAGCTGGGCAGTAAATGTTCAGAAAGGGGAACAGCCCTAGTCAGACACAAATAGGTGCAAGCAGTTAAGAACTGGGGAGAAGGCTGCAAAGAAAAAGACAGCAAGACGGGATTGCACGAGTCCGTGTATTGCACGATTGCACGAGTCCGTGTATTGTAGCCAACAGGTTTGTCCTGCACTCTACGGTTGGAGTTGCCAACTCTAGGTTGGAAAATTCCTGGAGATTTGGGGGTAAAAGCTGGGGAGGACGAGGATTGGGGAGGGGCCTCAGTGGGTTACAATGCCATAAAGTCCAACCTCCAAAGCTGCTCCAGGGGAACTGATCTCTGTAGTCTGGAGATCAGTTGTAATTCCAGGTGGTCCCCAGGCCCCACTTGGAGGTTGGCAGCGCCATAGCAGTTTTGCAGCACAGTGATACAGTGTGATACACGCTGCTTTCAGGCAGTAACCAGCTGCTGTTTTTACCTCAAGGAGCTAAGCCAGAAAGACACTCTGGGCCTTCCGTTGCTTCTTTATGCCAGCACGTATCTTCCAGATATACATTATGCCTTTCCTCTTCCTTTCCCCCTTGTTTCTCTCCCTCTCCCTCCCTATCCTGCTTGCAAGGCAACAACGCGGTCCAGAACTAGTCGATAGTAGACTAGTAATGCCATCTGGGGATTAATTTTAAGCTTGTAACATTATATTTATTGTATTTTAACGAGTGGATTAAGGCGGACGTTAAGATCTGTGAATGGCAGTAAATTAGCATACAAACACAAGAGTTAACAAACAGATGTCAGAATGAAGTTTTGAGTCCAGTGGCACCTTCTAGACCAACAAAGGCCCCGGTCATACGGCAAAGTTGCCGCAGGAGAGGCACGGATGGTGGGTGAATTATCCGGGCGCAATCACACCCCAACATCTGGGAAGTGGCACGCACCTGTGGCTTACTGTGGAAAATGCACATTAAAAAAGTAGTACCTCTAAAGTACTGGTAAACGGTTTGCCACGGGCTGCCTCCAGACTCCCGCGGTGTGATCGCGCCAGCACACGGCTTTCCCCTCCGGCCCCTCCTTTATGCGCCGGTGCCGAGGAAAGGACCCGTGGTGTGCTGCTGGTGCGTCTGATCACGTAATCGCGGATCAAACTGCGCTGGGGCAATTAGCCACGCCTCTCCCCCCCCCCCCCCCCGGCTCCCCCCCGCGGGGGCG